ATATATGTTTGAGAAACTGAAGAGATGTTGAATGAAAAAAAAAAATGTAAAAAAAAAATAGAAGCGTGTTTCTAGTACATTAATATCGAGAAACGAGAATTGCGATGTTATCATGGTTTTAACGTCCCACGATACTCGACTTAACATAAATGACACTTGCATGCGATACATGATATTAGACGAGACCGATGAACGCATATGTAAAATGATGAATTGAATTGATCTATGTTTCGATTAGATGTAATGATTTCCTTATTTTTGAATTGTCATGAATTACTTGAACACACATACAGAATTATACGCGATTATTATTTATAATATTATTATAAAAACTTCATTATTAATTAATGGTTTAGTATTTTATTTTTAATTAGTTGCAAGTATTTTATTAATTTTTAAAAATGAATAATCAACATATATATTATATTATTAATTATTATATAATTATTTTATATATTTTATATTATTTTTAGTATTTTATTTTTAAATAAATAATCAACATATATATCTTGATATTTTATATTAATATATATATTAATATTAATTATTATATAATTATTATATATATTTTATATTATTTTAGTATTTTATTTTTAATTAATTGCACACACAACTATACTATATATATGCGTATAATACTTTTACAGTAATCGTAATAAGGATGGCATCAAAATTAAAATATAATACTGATTATTTATTATTGCACGAATTATGTATAAGGGTGGGTTGAAAAGTTTTAAGCCTCAACAACAAAAACGTTTGTTTTTTTTCTTTTAAGAAAATATTTGAAATAGAAGAATATATTAGATTACAATTAATAGATAGCTTATTAATATTAAAAAATGATCCCCATGGAAAATGTTGTACATTGCAACCTTCAGTAAACCATGCTTGACCTAAATGCAATAATTAAGAGCAATCAGTTGTTAAAAAAAAATGTGTTAAAGCTGTATACGTAGATACGTCTACGAACAGATTCGCAAAGTTAAATTGACGTTTTCATCGAACCCGTATTGCTCTACATCCGCCAATTGATTAAAACCCTAACGTTAGTAAGTATTAATAAATATAGGTCGTATATATATCTTCTTGGTATTTAAAGATACTAAGGATAACATAAAATATAATATTTTTCTTCAAATTCTTCTTTATAAAAAGAAAATATATCTATATATGCATATACATATACTAAAAAAAGATAAACAACTTTTAAATTAGTATTGGATAAAAATAAAAATAAAATGACACAAACAGTAATACAAAAATCGATTCGATTTATATTAATCGTTCAAAACACGTTACGCATTTCGTTTAAAACTATTAAATGACGTACTATAGTCTTTTTAGATTAACCCTTTGTTAAAGAGTTATTAAATAATCCCGATGAGTCTATGGCTATCCTTCGAACAACTATACTAAAATTAAACATAATACAATATCGTATAGTTCAAGGAACACATTTGTTGTTCATTTTATTTTTTATTTCTTTTTATTCTCAATGAATCGTTGCAAATAATTACATTAGAAGATTCAAGGACGAACATGATTTGTTAAATTTTTCTTCTTCTTCTTCTTATTATTATTAATAATTTTTTTTTTTTTTTACAGTGACACTAAGGTTCGAGTAAACAAATTTCTACTGCCATGGAGAAAGCAAAGGAGGAGACAATAAATATGCAATTAATCGACTCTCAAAGTCCATACAAGTATAATTTTTTATTATTCAGAGAAAGCACGTTGTTAAAAATAAAAAAAATAAAATATATATATATATATATATAAATTTCCATGACTCATGTCAGAAACGTTGATTTATTTTAATTTCAGAGTTAACAACGAGTTAGCAAGTAGTGGTCTAAGTACACCGGATGCTCCTATGTCACCGACTACACATTCCGAGGAATCCTATGACCCTCATAAACATCGCAATGTACCTAATCCAACCTCGTAAGTGTAGAAAAAAAAATTATTCATTCAAAATATTACACAAATAATATTTTACAATTTTTTTTCTTTCATATCTCAATCTCTTATTGGTTTTGAAAATTTTTATTTTTATTTCTATATTACATATAATTATAATTTTTATCATAAAAATGAAAATACATATTGTTATTATTATTCTCATTTTAATAATAATAMATTTGATAATTTAATTTCAAATTAAAACAATATTGTTATTATTATCATAATTATTTACAAAAATATATATATATATATACTATATATTTTATTATTATAATTTTACTCACACAAATTTTCTAATATAAATTAATTACAATTTATTCAAGATAAAAAAGAAAAGATTAGATTAAAAATCTAATTGAATAATTTATTTAAAAAATATTTATATATATTAGGGAGATCAGAAAGTAATGTCGTTTTAACCTATGTCCAATTTTATTATATTTTCATCAAAAACTGATTAATTCTGATTAATTTGGTATTAAAAATTTTGCATACTAGATAGAAAAAGGTTGTTGATAACGAGGAGTGGTGATTACATTATTGATTAAAAATAAAAACTTGTTAGAACAAAAATGTATTCGTTTAAATTTAAGGTTAGAAAGTGACATTACTTTCCGGTCCACCAAATACATATAAAAAAAAATTATATGTATTAATATATATATACAAAAAAATTATATAAAATAAAATTATTGGGTTGTCCTGAAAGTTCGTGCCGATTTTGACGAAAGATTGAAATGCAACACATTTAAGTTTTTTTAAATAAATATATAATAATGATTTTATAATAAATATAATAATAAATATAATAATAAAATAACTTCAAAATTTCGTGCTACCAGAACTTTTCAGGTTTTTTAAGAAAAGAACTTTAATGCCATCTATCGAAAATTGACACGAACTTTCCGGACAACCCAAATAAAATTATAATATAATAATATAATAAAACCATATATAAAATCAAATGATATGTATTATAATATTAACTATAAATAATTATATATATTTGTTTAATAATTAATCGTTGTTCTATTTTATTTTTTTTTTTAGAAATGCCGAAACATTGATACACTTGTTAAAGGGCAGTTTGGGTACCGGTATTCTTGCGATGCCAAACGCATTTTGTAATAGTGGCCTTGTGACCGGTGTAATAGCAACCGTCATTATAGGAGCTTTATGTACATACTGCTTACACGTACTTGTCAGGGCGCAATACAAATTATGTAAACGGTTAAGAGTTCCTATACTCAGTTATCCAATGAGTATGAAGTGTGCTCTCGAGCAAGGTCCTCGATGTGTTAAATGGTTCTCACCGTATGCACCGTAAGTACATAAAAAATAACCGCTTCCTCTTCTTTCAAAAAAAAAAAAAAATACAACTCATTTTTTTCTAACAAATTTCTATTACTATTTCTCATTTCTTTCATATTAATTTTTCTTCTTTCTCTTTTTTTCTTTTCTTCGTCAATGCAACTTCAATCGCACCTGCTTTTGCACTCTCCATTTTTACGGAGTGTTAAAAATTTGGAAAAATAATTAAAATTAAATTAATCTAATATTCGGATAGGATGTTTAGTTATTTGTATTTTTGCATCATAAATTTTAAATATCTAATATGAATCTTTTTTTAATGGCTACTACTGGCTGGGTAGAATAAATAATAGAAAAGAGAAATAATAATAAAAAAAATTCGTGGTTGAGTTTCGTTTACGAATAATGTGAGATTGCATACACACATATACAGATACGTGTGTGATGTGTATGGGTATAGGTTTTTTGAGTACCACGATATAGGGCCGATATACTGATGTTACATTCCGATATTAAAATGGCTGAGTGGTCTTTCGAGAAGTGGACGGTTTAATTTGAAATTTTTATTTTTCCCAACTTGAGATACCTTCGAAATCCTATATATGATTCTGTTTTTATTAATATTTTTGATAACATACATATATCTTGATTGAAATGTTAAAACAAATAAATAAATAAATAAAATAAATAATATACAATTTTGAGGTTAAAATGAATGATGGCGTACTATCAAGTAGTTACGGTCATACGTCTGACCGTAAATTAAGTAGTAAAGTTTTGTTTTATCAGACAACGTATCGGAATCTAAATATATCTTATTTTAAAATAAAATGATACAGAAATTTTTAATGACAAATCACAAGATATTATCATAAATCTAATAATTATCATAATTTTTATAATTTTTGTCATTGTCTAATTTAATATAACAAACTTAAAAATTTGTTTCAAATAAGGATACAAAATTTGAATAAAAAGTTATTTATTATTTATCTATTTTGTATTAAAAATTTACAAAAGGAAAGAATCAAGTTGACATGTATGTGTGTGACGGATTTTTAAAAAAAATTTGACTCTAAGTTTTAGGGATACATCAAAATCCTATGCAAGTAGTAAAACCAAATACTTAACCTTTTCTAAAAAAAAAAATGGAGGTAGAAATTTCACATGCATTTTTATACAACACTTGGTTTCATGTTAGATGAAAAGATAAATTTTTTATAGTTTATTGTATGAAATATATACATGAGTGGTTTAAAAAATTTTAACCTTAAAAAAGAACTATTAGTTCAAAATGGTATGAAAAATGATAAAGCTCAAGATTTTTCAACCCATTCATATATTTATATCTTTCCTAAAATGTCATTTCGAATTAAATTGTAAAAAAATTTACTTGACCATTTGAAACAAAATGGCAAATAAAAATACACGTGTAACTTCTCCCTTTGATTTTTTTTTAACACTTGAACAGTGTATGGACCCCTATCATTATGTTGAATTTAAAAAAAAAATATCGGTATCCTGTCAACTTAGTTCTCCCCTTATCAGACATTTTATTGGTCAATCCAGTAGATCCCAGCAAGTGTACAAAGTACCGCAGTAGTCAAGTGTACAAAGTACCGCAGTAGTCATTGCCGTTTTTAAGGTGTAATGGTCAGACATATTGGCTGATCAAATTTGCTTAAAAAACATTGCGATATTTTTACATAATATAAATCACAATTTTTATAATATACAAATGTTTATAACATTCACGAGCCTGCACAGAAAATAATATTAACAATCAAGCTTAAATAATCATAAATATCATCGCAAAAATTAGAAAATATGCTGATTACATAATTAATACACAAATAACAGCATGCTGCCTATTCAGTATCATTATTATTATTATTATTATTGTTATTGTTTTTGTTATTATTGTTGTTATTGTTGTTGATGTTACGATGGAAAAACAAAAAAAAGAAAATACATCGATAAAAGAATGCAGTATAAAAATTTTAATTGCAAAATGTAATAATTTCGAATGATCATAATATAATATAAATAATAGTCTTTTTTTTTAATTGCTTTTAAATTTGTTTATTAAAAAAAAGAACAACAAAAAAATGTCAAAAAAGGTAAAAAGATAATACGAAGAATGTGATATTATTTTCAGAGGACTAGTAGATGGGTTTATGATAGCATATCAATTGGGAATTTGCTGTGTTTACATAGTATTTGTAGCCAAAAATATAAAGCAGGTAAATCAATATATAGAATGTTATTAGAAGAAGATTAAATTAAGGTGCTCACTAATTTATTTATTTTTTTTTTTCGAAACAAATGCAAATGAATACAGAGCAGTTTACGAATGAATAAAAAAAAAAAAAAAATACGAAACAATATTTTTATTTCTCTTTTTTTTTATATACATATATTTATTTGTATATGCATATATATACATGTATATATATATTTATTCACTAATTTATAAATTTTGAACAAATGTTAAATTTGTATTGACGACTAATGATCATAAATTTATTAACGATGAATACTTTTGATGAATACAGGTGGCAGACCAGTACTGGGAACCATTGGATATACAAATTCATATGTTCATTTTGTTGCTTCCGCTAATATTGATAAACTACATTAGAAATCTGAAACTATTGGCACCATTTTCTACGCTAGCTAATATTATCACTTTCATCGGATTGGGAATGATAATAGTTTACATGTTCGAAGATATACCATCGATTAGTGATAGACAAATGTTTGGTACTGTGAGAAATTTTGCTTTATATTTTGGAACGACGTTATTCGCTTTGGAAGCAGTAGGTGTGGTGAGTTTCAATTTTTTATTTTCAACTATTGGATTGTCCTGTAAGTTCTTGCCGATTTCGATGGAAGATTAAAATGCAACGCATTTAAGTTCTTTGTTTTGTTATATATTTATTAAATTATACATAAGTATCATTCCGTTCCACAACCTTTCTCCATCTTTATGGGTAACTTCAAAATTTTGTCATTTCAGAACTTCTCAGGTTTTTTTAGCAAAGGAACTTTATGCCATCTACCGAAAATCGGCACAAACTTTCCGGACAATCCAATATAATTATAGCAATATCTATTCAGTATCTTTGAATCAAATCATTGATATTTTATCTCATGAGAATTTAAATATTTGTTTGTTTAAAAGAAACAAAACAAATGTTAACTGGACGATATAAATGGTTTAATATTTTTTTGAAACATTTAAAAAAATATTTTCTATTTTTAATGAAATATTTATGATCGTTATTATTACAAATAATCAGACAAATAATTAATACTTTTTTTTTTATAATTGTAATATATATGTTACAAATACTGTTACTTATAAATTATTATTTGTTATTAAAAAAAAAAAAACAAATATGTATATTAAAACTGATTCATTTGTTTAACGAGATATTGTAGACAAATGAATAGAATAAAAAATTCTTTTATCGGTTATCTACGATCATTGAAACGTGAGATAACCACCGGTTATAGAAGACATCAGAAATAGTCAACACTTGATGGACGATTCAATGACACAGGCTCATAAATTATTAAATGCTCGCTTACAACGGGTGTCTTATTTTTCCTTTATTTAAGTAACAACATTTTTGCAAATAATCAAAATATGATAAAATATTTAACAAGAATTAATCACATTAAAAATAACCAATAAGAAAAGTAATCTTGAATTCAATAATTTTGTTTTATTTAAACTAAAAATCATGTCATACAATGTTGCCAATATTTAAATGAAACACTCGGTATGAATTCACTTGTAACAGAGATGTAATATTTTAATATATCAAATTTGTCAATAATAATTAATTAATTAGAATACAGAATATGATTAATGTGATTATACGTGATCAATGATAACTGGACAATTATTTTATTCCAATAAAAATTTGTTAAACATTTATATAAATATTAAATATGACACCCTGTATATTTGCGAGTTCGAGAGTGCAGCATTAAAGGAGACAGCAACAATGTATCGTATCAATGCGTGTTATTACTTTAATAACTAACCATGATTACTCGAAGAAATGTCAGTGGTTCTCAAACGATCTTATTTATTACAGATAATAGCATTGGAAAATAATATGAAGACGCCACAATATTTTGGTGGATATTGTGGTGTTCTTAACATTGGTATGACTGTGATCGTTACTCTTTACATTCTTATGGGTTTCTTTGGTTATTTAAAATATGGATCTGATGCTGGTGGAAGTGTTACGTTTAATTTACCGGAAGATCAAGTGTAAGTTATATTTCAAATTAATTACAAGATAATGTAAAATATTAAATATCACTTTACAGATTAAATAAAAAAAGAATGATATTTTCTTTTCCAACAATAGGATGGCACAATCTATCAAGATCATGTTTGCAATAGCAATTTTTATAACGTACGCGTTACAAGGATACGTACCTGTTGATATTATCTGGAACACTTATCTTAATCAACGTATACAAAATCGTAAGATATTATGGGAATATGTTTGCAGAACTCTCGTTACATTAGCTACGTGTAAGTATTATTAATATTAATCTAATTTATATTTAAAATATTATTTTTTCAATTAATATATTAATTAAACACGTTCCGTGCCACGTGTGGCACCACCGGTGGTACACTTTTCTTTTAATTTCTATTAAAATATTGATACATTATACAAAATACAGTATTTAACAAAGTACATAAGATTAAAGAATATTAAAAAATATAAATAATAAAAAAAAATAATTATGAATATTAAAAAATAATAATAATAATAATAATATAAATATAAAAGTTATTATCGATTTGTTCAAGTACGAAGAATAAATTTGAGGAACAAAATTAATTTTTAATTTATATTAAGAAAGTTAAAAATATTTAAACCAAAAAATGAATTTAATTTAATTAATCGACTAACAATTGTTTATTATTTTGCAGTTACGTTGGCGATTACAGTACCAAGATTGGGCCTTTTCATATCTTTATTCGGAGCACTGTGTTTATCCGCCCTTGGAATAGCATTTCCAGCCATAATTGAAATATGTGCTCTATGGCCAAACGAATTAGGCCCATACAAGATATTTTTAATAAAAGATCTCGCTTTGATATTGTTCGGTTTGATAGGTCTAGTTGTTGGAACTTATGTCAGTGTAGTTGACATTATACTTTCGTTTAGTCCTGATGCTGGACCACAGGTCGATTAAAATTAGTCATTTTGAAATTTGTTGGAAAAAAAACGAATACAAAAAAACTGAAAGAAAATTGAAAGAAAAAACGAAACCAAAGGAAAGACAGAGAAACAAAAAAGAAACCAAACAAAATGATGAACAAAACATAACAGGCACACAGTGTAAAGCTTTTTTTCTTATTTTTTTTTTTTTTTTAATAATTTAGATCACAAAAAATTGACGTGCCCTCGTAGGTGTTATTTTAAACAAGAAAAACAAAACAAAATTAAAAAAAAGAAATATATATATATATAAAATGCCGTACCTTATTATAAATAATTATGACCAGAGAGAAAGAGAAAGAGAAAGAGAGAAAGAGATATTTAGAATCTCGGAGCATTCAGGAAATGCTTCATTGTATCACCGCCATTAGTTTACTTAGACTGTTATAAAAAAAAAAAAA